AAAATTGAAAATGCAAACATAGAAGTTATGTCAAATTTGATTATGATTTCAGAAATACAAAGCATCAGAATTGTAAACCAGAAGCAAGCATGAATTTTTCTAATCCTAATTCTGAACCCTAATTTTCTCAAGAAGTTATGATCTGAAATTCTCTCTACTTAGGCCATATAAATTGAATCTATAAATATGTACAGATTCAGAGCCATGATATCTACATTATGTCTTTGAAATTGCAAGCCTAACAATGTCTAAGTAATGAGATGAAAGTCAGAAGAAACTTACCTTGCAGCTGGAGATTATTCTGTGAGTTAGAGCCTGGTTCAGATTTCTGTGATGTTTTGGTTAGCTTCTTCAAGTTCTTAGAAAGCTAAAGCAACTCTTAACTTGAGCTATGAATGGTTGGAATGTTCTAGAGCAGCCAAGAAGCAAAGTTCTGATTTTTGAAATGGAGATTGGTGAAGACTGTATTACAGTTGGAAAACAGAAGTTGGGAAAGCTTCTACGTGTATACCAAAAACCAAATGGATGATTTGGCCAAGAAACGCACGAGAAATTAGAGTTTGTGTGCAAAAATCAGAAACTAACAGGTTTTGGTGTTTGCTGCAGTTTCAGGTTCTTGGGAATTTTCAGCAAGGTTTCAGGGCTTTTTTCCTCAATCTCCACCCCCTTTGATGTTTGCAAATGAAGTTTAATTTATAGGCAAAAGATTTAGAAGCTCGGAGAAAACAGGAGTACAACCATCATGTGTTGTAAATCATTGACTAGTTTTTGAAGCAAGTTTAAAAAAGCATGTTTCAAGGCGAAGTAGAGTGGTTAGCAACTTTAAGCACACCTAATCTGAGTTTGTAGGCATGGTTTGTGGAGAAGTACACTCAGAAGCAAAGTGAAGCATGGGCTAAAAATAAACTTTGTACAAAATTTTGCTTTTCAAGGACAACAATAGTACTTTCATGCCACACGTGGGAAGATCTTTTGGATAAAGGATTAAACTTTGGGATAAAGACTCAAAAGTTGGTGTAAGCATTAAATGATGATGAGATTTAACAAGAAACAAAGTCTGCAACATGAGATTATGCAACATAGCTTGAAACTTGATCATAAGTTCAGCATAAATGTAACTTAAATTAAGAAACAAATATCCAACTTCTAATCTTTGATTCAAGGAGAACTTCTGTTCAACTCTTTTGTCAAAAGTACTCCCTGAATCATCTTGCATCATGATGAAAATCTGGCCAGAATTTCTGAACTTATCATACTTTCTTAACACTTAGAAAAGTTTCTAAGTGTTTAGAACTTTGACTTTTCCAAAGAAAATTTTAAATTTTGATTTTCTTGGTGAACCAACTTCATATTCTAACATGTCTTGATGAAATGAGATTCTTGAAACTTGATTTTGAATAAAAAGTAAAAGTTTGACTTTTTCAGTGTGCATTTGACCATTTTGCCCTTGTGCCAATTCCAAACCTAAATTGATGTATCAGTATTACAGACTTGAGTCTTGGAAGATCTTGTGAGAAAATCCTTGAGAAATGAGAGGGCAGATTTTGGGGTACAACAGGGAGGAATGCAACAAATTCTCTATCCCTCCTTACAGTTACCAAAGGAGGGAACAGAAGATCTCAACAAAGAGCTGAGTTGAAGAAGATCTTTTTTGAGGTGATGACGAGTGAAGTCAGTGATGTCACTCTTAAAACTTGTGATAAACTCAAGGAGTACAAAAGGATGTTTGATAGAGGCAAAGGGTGGAGGATCATCTAAAGAAGATCATGATTGTCCTGTTCTCATGGCTATAATATACTTCTACTACTATTGCTGACGGTGGTTTGTGTGTATGAAATATGTCTTACCAAATGTTACGACATATTTTCTGATGTATGAACTTGAGAAGTTCATATTGGTTCTAGTTGTTTTCATGAGGGGGAAATATTATCAAGGAACAATGGTGGATCACTAGTGTCAAGAATACATCTCCAACAAGTGGTTCATCATGAAGTATTTTGGTCATCCATGTTTGTTGGGTGTTTATGGATGGAATTCTCATAAGTAAGTCCAGTGGTGTGATCATTATGAAATATACCATTGTCCAAGTTGGTGTTGGGACATCATCTCAACATCTTAAGGCTTTAAAAGCAAAGAGGAGCTTTATCCGAGGTCTCTCTAGTCATGACTACTATCTTCAGATACATCTTCTTTTTGACGTATATTTCCTCTCTTGATGGAAATATAATAGTTGGTGAAGCTAATAGAGTAACTCGTTTGCTCAAGATTGGCTGAGGCAGTGTCAATGGATAACTCTTCTATATGGCTTTTTGTTCAGCTGTGATTCTAGACTATGGTTAAGATTGGGGGTAGTCTGATCTCTCAATGACTTTGGAGGTGTTATAAATTGCAAAGCTCAACTGGGTTTCATGATGATTGTATGTTGGTCATGATGTGTGAAGCAAGTTTTGCTGAAGGGAAGATGTGGAATTGTAGGCTCTAATGGACTGAATGCTTAAATCTAGTGTCACATGAATAAGTGTTCCCTTTAGTTTAAGATGTTACAACTGATGTTGGAACATCTCTGCAATTGATACTTAGGAAGAGAGAATGGTGCATTGTTAATAAGGAGGAATATATCTTCTTGAAAAATGCTTGCATTGACTGGTTGTGTCGTTACAAACAAGGCTAGGTAACCCCTTGGATTTTATTACCCATTATTTGTCTTGTCCTCTATTGGTTTTTTTGTATGTGCTCTTTTTGAGTTCCTCTCAGCATTGTTTGTCGGGGTTCATTCATAAGCTTTTAAGCATTAAATGGGTTTATGTCACTGGTTGTGTCTTTTTTTGGCTAAAAAGGGGAAGAAGTGTATTTGTTGAAAGTGAGTCTAGTCTTGTTGATGGGTATTGAGCGTTGCTTCTCATCTCAAGGTTCTGTTTTGATTCGTCTTGGAGGTCTAGAGTCTGCTCTTGGTTGTGCTGAAAGGATGTTGTATAGGTGATTTGAGTTTGATCCTTGATAATGGTTTTTTGTGTCTTATGATATGAATTTTTGAACACAGGTGTATTTTTATTAGCGTTTGTGTGTTTATTGTGAACCCTCGATTATCATATTGATGAAAGAGTAGGACTGTGTTTTTGAATTGTAAGTTCTGTCAGTCATTCCAAAGCTTTGAAACAGTGAATGATTATGTGTCTTTGAAGTATGACTTATATTTTTGTTCTAAGTGTTTAGAATTGTTCAATCATTATTTTCGCACCGTGAAAAAACACAGAGTCGCCACCGAACTTATTTATCTTGGAGGAATGGAAAATATCGAGAAAATCCAAAAGGAAGGATAATATGGTCTTGCGACCAAGAGAAAGGGTATGAAAGTTGATTACGCAAGGGGAAGGTATTAGCACCCCTCACGTCAGTGGTACTCCACGGGATCCACTCTTGTTGTTCTAATCAAAGGGTGTGTTATATCTAATTCTTACTTGCTAAGGGAGTACATGCATGAAAAATAAAAATACAGGGAAAATAAAGGTTTTAAATAGTTGTGCTCGCTTAAGCCCTGAAACCTAATGCCTACGTATCCCTTTTAAGGAATCAGAGCGCCGTAGTTCGACTCAAATATTTTGGTTTGTTGTGTATTTTTTTATGGGTGACGAACAGTTTGGAAAAGATTTTGAGTTACGCCCTCAAGGAAAGATGCCACGTTTGATTGGTTTGTATTTTGTTATTTTTGAAAGTGTTTAAGATACGCACAATACTAAAGTCTATGACGTGAGATACTTTTGGATGGTCGAGTCAGACGGCTCGTATCTAAAGTGCTCCACGTGCTTCAGGCTCGTGACGTATTTATACGCATCATATTCTTTAGGTGTTTTGAATTTGTTCAAGAAAATGATTTTAGTTTTAGAAGATGCAATGCAAAAAGCAAGAGAAAAAGACTAAGGGAAGCTAAGCCTAATGTCATCATGCACAGTGGTCCTAAAGTCAGAATTACCGGGAAATTCTACTTAATTGTTGTCATGCTTGGTTTTAAATCTTAAGTTCTAATTAATTCAATTTAATCAAGAGATTAAAATTGAACTAAAAATCCTAAGGGAACATGTTAAAATACACAAGCAATCAATAAGCAATCAACAAGCAATCAACAAGCAATTAAAACAATGATCAAAAGCAAAATACAATGAAAGAAGCCATGAGGTGCAAGCAACAAGCAGGAGCGTGAACCAACAATATCTAAGCCTGGTTAGAAAATGAGTCCATAACTAGTTTTTTGTTATACAAATTTTCAGTCAAAAAAGATGCAAATTAGACTTCAGGGGAAGGGGATATGAATCTCTATATATGCCTTTTTATTTTGCACCCACTAAACTTTTTTTTGAAAACAAAATTCAAACAAAGGGGATGGGGTATAATACAGATTCCTGATATGAACCAACATTGAGTTATGATGCTGCAAGGCCCAATTATATTGGGGGTGTGAACAACAAAGGAGATGGGGTATAATACAGATTCCTGATATGAACCAACATTCAGTTATGATGCTGCAAGGCCCAATTATATTGGAGGTCTGAACAACAAAGGCTCTAAGTCCATATCCAATACATTTCTCATACAAATCCAAACAAAAAAAACTATCCAGATTATTGTTTTTTTTTGTTTTTTTATATTCAATTATAATTAAATTGTTGAGATTAACAACGAAAATAATACAAAATAAAAGGCAAATCCACAGAACGATGTCGTTTCGCATTGCTTCAGATGAAAAAGAGAGAAAAATAATGACTCTTCGTCTCTCTCAAGTTCACTCAACCTTCATCCCCAAATCATTTCGCCAGAAACGAACCTCGCCGTATCGGGCACGGTGAGACCTCACCGTTCTTCCACTTCTGACCTCCATTTTCATCATCTTATCATCCTTAGTCTGAATCCAAACCTATTTTCGTTCAATTTTTCTCTAATCTGCCTACATCTACCGAGGGACAGAGAAACCCTAGAAATCTTTAGAGCGCAATTAAACAGCGATTATGCGAGACTTCGGTGCAAACGCTTGGGGAAGATGCTCAACAGGTTCTAATTTACATCTTGACGCCAAGAAATCACGAAAATACGGAGAATCAAGAAAGTTCGGTGCTTACCTTCGACGCCTTCGGAGATGCGAAACAGCGAAAACCAGAGATGAGGCTCCTACGCTGATTACAAGTGTGAATTGCTTCTATTTTCCTCCCTCTTTCCACTTCTTTCTCTTCTGCCAATAACTTGCGTTGATGTTATTATACATTGAAACGTCGAATTGTTCTTGCTGTGCGAAGAAGATGTAATAGCGAAGATGAAGATGAAGGGAAGATGCAAAAGCGGTTATTGTTGATGATGAAAAGAGGAAGGTTGAAGATGCTTTATCAAGGAGATGATGCTGCAGTTATGTTGATATTGCATATGATTGGAAGATTCAGAGAAAGAATGAAGTTCACAATGTTGATGATGATTTGCAGAGAATGAGTGAAGCCGAGGAAGGATGAAGTTGTTGTGTTGTAATGGAGAGAGCAGAGAAAGAAGAGAGAGCTTTGCGGTTGGTGATCCTCCAGAAGAAGTGAAGAATGAAATCGATTTCTGGTGAGTTTTCCGTTTTTATATTCTGTTGGCTTGGGAAGTTTGTTACAAGTGAGTGAATCTGAGCCTTAGAATTATGAAAGTTAGTTATAAAAATGGATGGTGAGGATTTGATTTGAAATTAAGTAGCTGAGCTGTTATTCCATCTGATTTAATCTCCTCACAATTTTTTTCTGATTTCCTGACTTGTTGGTATTTGATTTATTTCCTGAACTGATTATTTATGCACCGGTCTTTTGCGAACCAAAACTGGTTGCTTATTGTATGAACTGGTTTTTATGGTATGAGTCTCTCGGTTAATTAATGGACTGATTTGCCTCTGTTTTTGATAATTGGAAGCTTGAGTTGAATTCATGTTTAATTGGCTTAATGTTGACGATACGGGTGATTCTCAAAGCTACTGGTTTTGCATATTTGATACAGGTTTGAACACGGGAACGTAGCAAGTTCCGGAAGGTCCATGGCAACTTCATGTAGGTCCTTTTAGATGCGGCGACAGGTCATTTGTTATGCAGAAACGAAGATGAGACAGTTTGGTCATAAAGTAGTAGAGTGAGTCCATATTTAAATGCCTTGAATCGATTGATAACCCGTTTATGGGCTGAACTGGTGTGAATTGTGCTTGTTTTTTCTGCAAGAAATGTTTTTTGTATGTCATGTTGTACTATGAACTGATGATGGGTATGTTCCGGTTTACATTTGATGGGGGCAGTAAGTAGGCTTGAGGTTATGGAAGACAACTTGGGTGTAAAGAAAACATGAAGCCAATGGTCAATGATGGCTGAAACAATTCAGGAGCAGCTTGAAGCAATTGTAAAATGAACTTAGGAAACTGGTCACCCTTTGTACTTACTAGTTTTCTTTTGTTTTTGTAAATCTGATCTTATAATTTTTAAGCAACTTGTACCTCCAAGGAACCTTGTGTATCAATTAGCTTGTAACGACTTGATATTTTATTTTTAAAATAAAATTTGGAATACACTTTCCCCCATATTTGTGTTTAATGAACTTCATATTCTCCTTGTATCTTCCAAAACTTGCATAAGTAACAAGATTGGGAAGACAAACACAAACGAGAAATTCTTGCTAATGGCTTCCAAATGCCTTGAAATTCCTCTTCATCCTCAATTTCAGATCCAAATCTTCGTCTTTGATTTTGTTCTTATCTCTGATGATGAGGACCAAATGAACCAACCCCCTTAATTGATGAGATTCACTGATGAACTCAAACTTTATTTGTGGAATGGAACCAAATGAAATCACATGCCTTCCTTGCATAAAATTCATGGCCCAATATCTTTTAACCCAAGCAATGAAAGTATGAACCAATGACTTGTACTTCAAGATAGCCAAACCCCCTTTGATGGAGATTAAACTTGAAAAGCTGAGAAAATGAAGCTCAAGATATCCATGGATACTAAACCCTACTTCATAGGATCCTCATTTGAATATTCTCAGGTTTAAGCGTAAGGGATTAGAAACCCTAGTTTTGCAATCCATTGCTTAAAGAAAGAACCAGATGAATTAAACTCGTTTGATGTGCTAACCTCACCATGTAGAAACCCTAACTTTCAAGACCATTGATCCCATGCTAAGCTTTTATTGATTAATGATGTGTTAAATGACCTAATTTAAGGTAATGCATATGATAAGTACAAGTTTCGTAAGCTAGATGATTTAAATGAAATATTAGGACAAATTTGGGGTATGACAACAATTCTGTGATTGGAAGAGATTTGAAAAGGGTCTCATACCTAGGTGAGTCTTAGGTAGAAATACCCAACTGTTACTTTCTCATCTTTGTCTTCTGGAAATACCCAACTGTTAAGTTTTTCCTGCTTTACGCAAGCGATTCTGCTTCATGGCTAGACCTGTGGCGAAAATCTGCAACATCAATGATATAAATGAGTTGTGGAAGGTCTATGTGCGAGTTCATCACAAATGGAAGGTTTTGTCTAACAACATAGAGCATTTTGAGATGATATTTGTGGACAAGGCGGTAATTTTTGTTTTCTATGCATTTGTGAATCATATGTTATGTTCTGTTTATTGTTTTTTTGTTACATATTAACCTTTTCTGTTTATCTGTGCTGCATAGGGTGGGGACATACATGTTGTTGTCCCAGCAACACATGTGGCTTTGTTTAATGATAAATTGGAATTTTACCATACTTACACAATATTAAATTTCAAGGTTCAGCCTAATGTGTTGGCTTTTAGACCTTCACTGGACAAATTTTTGGTCAAGTTTACGGGAGGAACGTCTATAGGTGATGATAACAAGAATGAGAAACCTCCAAGACGCTTGTGTTTACAAAGTTTGCTGATATAATCACCGGCAACTTCCAAATGCCTTCGCGTGTTTTATTTTACAATCTTTGTATTTTATATGTTGTTTTTCTCTTATGTTGATTCCATATTTTTGTTTTCTAATATGTAATTGGCATGGTTGAGAGTATTGGTTATTCACAAACACAGTCGGGTGGCAAAAAGCGGCAACTTAATATGGTATCGAAGGACAACAGGTTTGTATATCTGCTTCCAAGAATTCCTCTAATTTGAATGTATGTTCTCTTCGTGATTAAAATCATGCTGATGTATTATTTGTGTAGCAACAACACTATCAACTATACCCTATGGGAGTCATATGCTGAGCAATTCCTAAAGTTCAACCAACAACGGGGGAATGATTCGGGACTGACTTTTGTTATGCTTCAGTATGCAAAATTGAAGGAACATGGTTAGTTGGTTTATGGTGTTATTAGGTAATAAATTATTTTATGTAAATTCAGACTCACGTGTTACTATACTAATGTAGGAAAGTTTCCGTTGGTGACTAACACCTACAATGTCACAATGCTTTGCCTCGATACTGATTTTCCACCAATTGAACAATTTATGGACAGGTAGATTTTGTGTAATATCACTTATGATGTATCCTACAATTGCTTATCTGAATTTTTCTCTAATCTTTTATTCGTGCAGCATGCCTAAGGACTCAATGATTACTGTATCTGGGCAGCTAGCCATTAATTCTCAACTTTCATCTCAAAGCTCTGAGAATCATCAGCTCACTCCTGTTCAGAAGTTACTTTTTAAGGTTGTCGTTATGCCAATTGCTGATATCATTAAACTTGGATCTATATGTACCCCATTGTTTTACACATTTTCCTAATTTGTTTACTTATTTGTTCACGTGATTGCTTTATCAGCATATTGTATTAGAGTTATGTACCGTATATGTAGGTCACATTTTGTGCAACTGTTGGTGAAACTAAGATGTTGGTTGTGTCTCCCTATGACTGGTATTATCGTGCCTGCCATGCTTGCTCATTCATGGCACGTGGTGATAAACCTCCATTTGAGTGCGAGGCTAGGCATTTGACTGAGGCATATATACTTACATGTTACTACTTCTCATCTGATATGTGTTGTCGCATTGAAAATGATGCTCTTGTTTGTTATTGTGTGAATATGTAACTAATTCTTTTTATCTTTCCCATTAATCCTGATATTGTAGGTATAAGATTGAGATTCAAGTTTGTCACATAGGAAATAGTTGTAACTTTGTGTTTAGGAACATAGAGTGTGTCATATTATGATTCAGGTTAGTGTTTTTTTATTTAAACAATGAAACATATGCAGTTTTCATGAACACTAAAAGGTCATCATGTTGCTTCCTTATACAGGATGGAAATCATGATCTATTGGAGTTCCCATTAGCACTGGACTAGATGTTGGACGTGAAAATTCCTTTTAAGGTGAAATGGCAGTCGCGCTGGAAGAATTGCTCAATGGTTATACTTTTGAAAAATGATCCTTTCATCAAACAACTCAGTGATCAATTGGAAACAGTTGAGGTATAGAATATATACGTTCCATTTTATGTTTCCCATTGTTTCTTTATTTTCATGTAAAACCTTTCTTGATCATACTTTAATTGAACCTGTAAAGGAACATGTTCCTCTACGCTCTATATCATCAGACCCGCTGCAAGTATTTACCTAACTATAATATTTTGTTGTGCTTGTGTTTAAGTGTTATGGTATATGTTATGATGTTCACGTATGTATGTGTAACTACCAATTACAATTATCTTTAGATTAAGGAGAGTGTTGATGAGGCAAAACCCAGTGCCCCCGAAGGATCTGATTTGGTTATGGTAACCGTCTCTACCCTTCCGACCTGTGCATCGTTTAAATTGGTGACACATAATATATATTAGTTGTTGTAACTCAGATTATTTATAAAACTCATTGTGTAATAGGATCTTGAGATCACATCCAAGTACTGTCCGGATCCTATTACGCATGCTGGCAAAAGATAGTTTCCAGGTGTATCAAGCGAATCAACAAGCTTGAAAGGGTTTTGTGATGAGGGAGATATCATCAAACAAGCTAAAGAAAATTATCAAAATTGAAAATAAATATTAGTGGTGGTTTCAGTTTATTATGAGTTTCAGTTGTTTTGCTTTGGTTTTATGTTGACAATGATTGTAATTTTGAGTTTCATTCTCGTTTACTTTGTTTGTTTGGATGTGTATGATTAGACTTGTGATACTTTGTTTGTTTGGATCTGTATGGTTACGCTTGTGTTATTATAAGATGACATAACTTGATGGTGTCTACTTTTTTGGTTTACAATTATAATTATGACTTATTTGTATAATGATGTAAGTGTGAAAGAAAACGGAAGGATCTGTTGTTCTGAAGCTTCATGCCCCTACAACGGAGCAAGAAGAGATTCAAGACTTGCAGT